ATTTTGGGCTAACAAGAGTTATTGAACTATTGTATAAAAAGGATGAGGAGATTATTTTGGCATTTTTTTCATTTTATTTCTTTAGCCATGATGTGACAGTCATTGTACCAGGAGCTGGGAATGCCCTCACGGAGCTCATGACCTAGTGGCAGAAACGAGAAGTTACAGAAGTTACTACCACAACATAGAGAGCAGAGCTGTGAATTGCTCAAGGAACTTTCCAAGTTTGTGAATCCTCCAGTGCTTACAAGTTCCTCCTTTAAGTGGATATGAAATCACTAGTAGAGAGAATGAGGCCTTGGTGAGATGCAGATGGTGAGCAACCAGCTACTCACTATCTAAGCACCAGGCTCTGCACAGTATTCTCACAGCTACGTGGTTCAGAGTCGTGTCTGAGCAAGATGACAGGGGATCACAGTTTGGACACTTGGGGCTGTTCCCAAATAATCAAAACCACTAGTGCTAAATGCGGAATGTGCAAATGCCACCATACATGATAAATTCAAGAACCAAAGCACGCGCAACGTGGTAAAGATTAGGGAATGACACAATAGGATTTACATTTTGGAAAGTTCACTCTGATCTTATCTAATGCTTATCTATGCATTCTGATTTTTTCTAATTTATATGTTAATGAAATAAAATAGGAAAAATACAGAAATAAATTTTTAAAAATGAAATCATGGAGTCTAATCAGATGTTTTAAGATAAGTAAAATGGTTGGAGAACACCAATACTTTACTTGACAGAGGAAAGTTTCTACAAGGACAGCACTTGTTTTGTTTACATTTTACTCATAGCTCCTAAGCAAGGTTCTTGACATATGGTAAATGTTCAAAAATTAATTATTGAATAAATCAATAAATGCAACAGTGGGATTCAGTATGATAAACACTGAAAAGTATTTCTTGGATTTGAGATAACTTTGTAGAAGCATTGGAATGGAATTACTGTATAAAATCACTGCATGTAATCTAATACTGAAGTAAATGCTCACTCTGTATATTTATTTAAGAACTACTTCTGGCTGAGTACAGTGGCTCCTGCCAGTTATCCTAGGACTTTGGGAGGCCAAAGCAGGAGGATCACTTGAGGTCAGCTGTTCAAAACCAGCCTGAGCAAAATAGCAAGACCTCATCTCTATAAAAAATAGAAAAATTAGCCAGGTGTGGTGGCACGTACCTATAGTCCCAGCTACTCAGGAGGCTGAGGCAGGAGGATCACCTGAGCCCAGGAGTTGAGGTTGCAGTGAGCTATGATGATACCACTGCACTGTATCCCAGGAAACAAAGGGAGACGCTGTCTCCAAAAAAAAAAGTACTTCTGATGCCAGTTGTGAATCTGTATGTAACCATTCTATCTTTTTTTAAAAAAAAAATTAATTCAACAATAAGAAAAAATTAAAATTTTCAAAAATACCTATGTGCATTTGTGTATATGTTCATATATAATCTATGCATAAATATATACACAGTAAAAAGTTTCTCTTCCATCTACTTCATTTCTACAGGACCTCACCCCCCAAACAGGTAACCACTATAATTATTTTTCTGTGTGTCTTTCTAGATTTTTTAAATCTATTCAGACAGGCACAAATTCTTATTGTTATACCTTGTTATTCCAGAGGAAGCATTTTGTATGCACTTTTCTATACCTCAGTTTTTCATATTGCTGTGTCTTAAAGATCTTTCCAAACCAATAGAGAGCTTATTAATTTTTTACTGCTGCATACTACTGTTATACTATCTGGATATGCCATAATTTACTAACCTGTCCCTTATTGATGGGCATTTATATTTTTTCCAAAAAATACAGCAATAAATAACCTCAGTAATTTATATCATTTCTCACATGCTTATTAATGTCCAGGAATTGTTCATTTGTAATTCCCATACATAGATATCAAATTACTACTCTCCAAACAGGTTGTATCAGTACATGCATAGCAGTGTATATTTCCACAGAGGCTCACCAACAAGATCATTATTGAACTTTTGGATTATTGTCAATATGATGGGTGAAAAGTAAAATCTGAGTGTCATTTTAATTTGCATTTCCCTTATCATTGACACTGACCATTTTTGCATTTGTTTAAAAGCTATTTGCATTTTCTTTTCTGTAAACTTTAAATTTATACCCTTTACCCTTTAGTTTTGTTTTTTTTTTTAAATGTATTATGGGGGTACAAGTGTTAAGGTTACTTATATTGCCCATGCCCCCTCCCCCCCTTTAGTTATTGAATTGCTGCCATAGTTTGGGTTCTGCTAGAATCAGAGCCTAAGGGAAGGACTTAGGTGCAGGTTGCTTATGATCCCTGGAAGCAGGAGTAAGCCAACATAAGGGTGTGCTTTCTATGTAATTGCCATAAACCAGGGAGGCTTGAGGCTACTAGATCCTCTAAGAAGCATGCAGAATGCCTCAAAGAATTATCCTTCTAAAGAAGAGGAGGCTAGGACATTTATTCTTATGTCCCCCAATGATTGAGGATTGCCCCAGAAGCATTCTATTTCCTTGCACTTCTGGACTTGGTGGCCCTGTAGAAGGCCCTGAGACAAATGGCTAAAAGAAGCCAGATGTGAGCTTGAGGTAGGATGCTGTCCCCAGGAGTCTGAGCTCACATAGAACTGCCCAGTGGACCTCCTGCTGAAATCAAAGGTGGACCAAAAGGACGTGAAACAGAGCATCAAAGTGTCTGATTCAGTAGTCTTCTTTCTTATCGGCTTCTGTTGACAGGAGTACAGTGTAATTATCTATGATATTAATTATAATTATTTTCCCTGGTTTATAATTTTGTTTACATGTAGTATTTTTAAATAACTACTTTAAGATATAATGCATATACCATGCAATTCACCCATTAAAAATGTATAATTCAATGGATTGTAGTTTATTTGCAGAATTGTGCAATCATCACCACAATAAATCACAGAACATTTTTAGCACTCTAAGAAGAAACCCCATACCCATTAATAGTCACTGCCTGTTTTGCTCCTCCCCTCAATCCCTGGCAAACACAAATCTATTTTCTATTTCTATGGATTGTCCATGCTGGACATTTCATATAAATGTTACATATGGCCTTTTGTGACCAGCTTTTTTCATTTGGCATGATGTTTTCAATGTCTGTCTATACTGTATCACATATCAGCACTTCATTCCTTTTTATTACTGTATAATATCATATGGATAAGCTACAGTTTGTTTATCCATTCATTAGTTGATGGGCATTTGGGTTATTTCCACTTTGGGGCTATTATGAATAATCCTGCTGTGATTATTTGTGTACAGGTGTTTTTACTTCTCTCATTTTATACCTAGAAGTAGACTTGCTTGGTCAAATGGTTTCCAAAGTGGTTACGCCATTTACATTTCTACCAGAAATGTGTGAGGATTCCAATTTCTCCATATCCTTGTCAACACTTGTTAGTACCTATCTTTTTTACTATAGCTGTCCTAGTGCATATGACCTAGTATCTCATGGTTTAGATTTGCATTTCTCCAGTTGGTAAGATGTTGAGCACCTTTTCATGTACTTATTGGCCATTTGAAATTTTCTTTGAAGAAGTATCTTTATAAATCAATTATCAATTGCTCATCTTTCAATTTGGTTATTTTTCTTTTTATTACTGATTTATGTGAGTTTTTAATGTATTCTGGATACAAGTTCTTTATCAAATATATGATTTGCAAAGATTTTTTCCTACTCTGTGGGTTACTTTTCACTCTCTCGATGATGTCTTATGAAACGTAAAGTTTTTTCAATTTTGATGAAGTCCAAGTCATCTGTATTTTCTTTTGTTGTTTGTGTTTTTGTGTAACATCTAAGAAACTGTTGCCTAATCCAACGTCATAGAAATTGCTCCTGTGTTTTTCTCCTATGAGTGTTATAGTTTTAGATATTACAGTTAGATGAATAATCCATAGGATAATTTTTGTATGTGGTATGAGGAAGAGGTCCAAATTCATTCTTTTGCCTATAGAGATCCAGTTGTCCCAAAACCATTTGTTAAAAATAATATTTCTTTAAAAAAGAAATTCACACACACAAAAAAAGAATATTTCTTTTTAACCCATTGAAAAGAAATAGGGGTCCATTTTATTTTTCTGAGTTCATATGAGAAACACTGATTAGATGAATCAGGAATCATGTTGTGATATGAATAATTATTTAGATAATTTCAAATGTAACACTGTCAGTATCCTCTTATTTATAGTACCTTGTTTTTCAGACTCACAGAGAGTTTTAACCATCCTTTTAACACTTCCCTGTGTTAACTGATCTTGCTGTTCTGCCAGAGTAGTGGATTTGGGGTCTCTGCTCATTTTGGAAATCTCTGGTTGGCTTGAGTCTTTATCTCTCCATGGTTTGTCTCTGAAATAGCATGTAGTTTTTCCGGGATGGATTATTTTCTGAATCCAAACAGAAGCTTTCTGTTTGGCTGTTCCTGGTATTTTAGTAAATTAATTCTATTTTATTCAAAAAATTAAAGCAACTTTCTTTCAGGGAAAAGTGTTTTCTCCTAGATTGCAATGAGTTAGTTCCCATGACACTTCAAATAACAAACTCATCTAGATAGAGATAAATATATCTTATTAAAATATGGCTTTGAAGGGAACTGTGAAGACCATTTTTTTATGAAACATGATGATATCCTTGATACCAGGTCATCTGACTTTGACTAAGTTAAATGAATACTACTATAATATTTAAGGCAATAATACTTACCTCACAGGGTCATTATAGGAATTAACTGAATTAATATATTTGAAGTGCTTAAAATAGAACCCAGCACATAGTAACTTCTAGTGAGTATTTGTTATATAAATAAAAAATAATCAAACCTAAATACATAGAAATTGACTTTCTTAAATGTCAGAATAATTCAAGAAAAGAACTGAAATTCTGTAATCTACATTTTCTCAACTCTTATTGAATTAACTTCCTTCCTGCATATATAAATAGTTGCTAATTTAAACAACCTTTTCATTTCATTTTAAAGATTCGCCAATGCTCAGCCCAGCTAATTCTGCAATCAATTTAAGTGGAGCTCAGGACCTGACCCGGAATAAGAATGTTGTGAAACCACTGGCTTTATCTTTGCAGGTTGTAGGGAAGACTTTTGCTGCAGGTGATGTTTTCCTCACTTATATTTCTTTGGTAAATACATAGTCTATAAAAGACTTGTGTGAAATTTAACGGGCAAATTGATAGAAGAAAACAGAAGCTGCTTCTGCCTGCCAGTTAAAGACAGATGTGGGGCTGTCTATAATAATGGATCATGGTGCAAAGCTTTGTGTTCTCTACGTTCCAACCCAAAGAGCCAGGGAGTGACATTTGGCACACAGAGGAGACACAGTGGTTTGATTCCATTCAACAAACAGTTGTTGGGCACTTGCTATGACTAGGAACTGGGGATATAAAGAAAAATAAAGCTTAGTCCCTGACCCCTGATGTCCTTGTAACCTAGTGAGGGAGATAGATCCCCGACAAGATATTTTCAGTGTATTGCAGCAAATAGGACAATGTGCTTGGGGAGCATGGAGCAAGGGCTTTAGCCTAAGACTTTAGGGAGTAATCAAGAATGAATTCTTGAGGCCGGGAGCAGTGGCTCACTCCTGTAATCCCAGCACTCTGGGAGGCCAAGGCGGGCGGATTGCTTGAGGTCAGGAGTTTGAAACCAGCCTGAGCAAGAGCGAGACCCCGTCTCTACTATAAATAGAAAGAAATTAATTGGCCAACTAATATATATAGAAAAAATTAGCCGGGCATGGTGGCGCATGCCTGTAGTCCCAGCTACTCGGGAGGCTGAGGCAGCAGGATTGCTTGAGCCAGGAGTTTGAGGTTGCTGTGAGCTAGGCTGATGTCACGGCACTCACTCTAGCCTGGGCAACAAAGTGAGACTCTGTCTCAAAAAAAAAAAAAAAAAAAAGAATGAGTTCTTGGAGGACCTTGGTCTTCAACAATGAGGAGATATTTGCTATACAGAGGAGTGGAGGAAAGGCACTTCAGATTCAGGGAAGAGCAGGAACAAAGGTTAAAAGGAAAAGAAGGTGAGGGAAAGGGAAAAGCAGCACAGTGTACACAACAACTTCCAGCAGTTCGTACTTGTTAGAACCACAAAATGTAAAACTCAGGGAGTAGCAGGACATGAGCAAGTAGTGGTCAAGGAAAAGTCATGGGAAGCCAGGCCATGAAGCATGAATTTTACTCTGTAACTTAGGGAGCAGAGAAATGACATGATCTGATTTGAACTTGAGCTAGATCATTTTGTCAGTAATGCTTAAGAAGATGACAAGAGGTAGGAAAACGAGTTGGAGGTCATTGTAATAGTCTAGGTGAGATGTGATGAAGTCCTTACCAGAGTGATAACAGGTTGAAGAGGAGGGTGCAGATTGGAGGAGTACTCAGGAAGGAAGATCAGCAGGACTTGACTGATTAATGGGAGCATCTTAGAGAAGGGGCCTCTCATGATCTTCATTGTTCTGGGCTGGTGGTGCCATCACCTGAGACAGGAAACACAGAAGGAGGAACAGGTTCTCTGGCAGGAGATTGTGAGTTTGGTTTGGGACATGCTGCGTTTGAGATACCCATAACATATCCACGTGGAGCTATTCAATAGTCATTTAATTTATCATGGGGGAGGAAAGGACTGATGGTCTAGAGTTGAACCACCAACATATGGTTGAAACCATCAGGGTATATAGGATCAGCCAAGGAGAGATATAGGGTGAGGCAAAGGTAGAATCCTAGAAAAGTCCTGTGTTTAAGGAAAAGAAATGATAAGAGTGATGGAAGAAGAATGAGCAGAAAGAGAGCCTATCATTTTTGGAAACTTTTCAACAGTTAGGCATCATAATTTATGCAGCCCATTTTTGTTCTCACTCTAATCCAGCAATTCTTGCAGGACCTAACTTCTGGTTAGATTATAGACTTGAACAAACAGAATCAAATTTTTTACAGCATTAAAAAATAAATCAGGCTAGGTGCGGTGGCTCACACCTGTAATCCAGCACTCTGGGAGGCCAAGGCTGGAGAATCACTTGAGGTCAGGAGTTCAAGACCAACTTGAGCAAGAGTCAGACCCCCTCTCTACTAAAAATAGAAAACTTAGCCGGTCATGGTGGTGCATGCCTATAGTCCCAGCTACTTGGGAGGCTGAGGCAGGAGGATCGCTTGAGCCCAGGAGTTTGAAGTTGCTGTGAGCTAGGCTGATGCCATGGCACTCTAGGCCAGGTGACAGAGCAAGACTTTCTGTCTCAAATAAATCAATAAAATCAATGAAGTAATGGATCGATAATCATCATGGTTATGAAAACCATCAGATGACAGAATAAGTGACTTCATAATGCCAAGGATTAGGCTGAAAACTCTCAACCCTGCTAATCAATCTTAACATCACAAGAGAGAAAACTGGCCATTATGTGCTTCCCGATGGAAGTATTGTACACAACAGTACTTACGAGACACTCTTGCCAAAAAAAAAAATATATGTGTATATATATATATATTGAAGCTGAATTTGATCAAGCATCTGTCTCTGACAAGTAGTTTATTAGAAATACAGGGGACAAGGGAATGTCCAATGTCACCATAAGTATCCAATCAGCAAAATCCAGAAAATGGAAAATTCTGCCAGGTTTTCAACAAATTAATTGTCAGAAGAAAAAAAAGAGGAATCCTATAGACTGAAAGAGGAGAGATATAAGGGACATATCAACTAAATTCAATGTGTGGATCTTTTTTGAATCCCAATTTTAACAAACCAACTGTAAAAATATCATTTCTGAGATAATTGGGGGAAATTTGAATACTGATGGAAATTTGAATTCGATGATATTAAGAAATTATTAATCATTGTTAATTTTAAGTATAATGATGACATAATAGTTACTTATTTTAAAGAGTCTTTTTTCTTTTAGAAACACATACAGAAGTATTTATGGATAAAATGATATGATAAATGGGTTTGCTTCAAAATAATCCAGAGCATGTATGTGTATATGTGGAGAGGAAGGAGGTGTGAGGTATAGATGAAATAAGATGGGCTATGTGTTAATAAATGTGGAAGCTGGGTGGTGGGTACATAGACATTTATTATACTATTCTCTCTCCTTTTGTATGTGTTAGCAAGTTTCCATGGTACCACATTAAAAAAAGAATTGTTTTCTTTTCCTTCTACCCACCATCTCCAAAGACTTTATTGACAGCAATTCTAAAAGATCTCTTGGGGTCCTAGGAAATTATGTTTAGATGACATTTAATTTTAATGAAGGTATTCCTCTCATAGTTGTAGCTGGTTTTATACAACTGGATTGAGTCCTGTCTGTGAGGTTTCTTTGAATTTTAGAGTGTGAGGTTGGCTGGGTGCGGTGGCTCATACCTGTAACCCTAGCACTTTGGGAAACCAAGACAGGAGGATTACTTGAGGCTAGGAGTTCAAGCCTGAGCATGAGTGAGACCCCATCCCTATGAAAAAATAGAAAAATTAGCTGGACATGGTGGCATGCGCCTATAGTCCGAGCTGCTCAGTAGGCTGAGGCAAGAGGATCGCTGGAGCCCAGGCATTTGAGGTTGCAGTGAGCTGTGATGATGCCACTGTACTCTAGCCTGGGCAACAGAGCAAGACCCCAGGTAGGTAGGTAGGTAGGTAGGTAGGTAGGTAGGTAGGTAGGTAGGCAGGCAGGCAGGCAGGCAGGCAGGCAGGCAGGCAGGCAGGTAGGTAGGTAGGTAGGTAGATAGGATGAGTATGATGTTTATCGGATGGTCGCAGCATCACAGAAAGCAGTATCCTGTGCAGCCTGTGTTCTGAGTGGCTCCTCTCCTGGTGTTCTGCAGATGCTGCTAATGGAAACAGTAGCCATGGAGGGAAGAGCAGTGCATCCAGCTCCACTCCAGCCCGACCAGGGAACTACTCTTTGTCACCAAGACCTAGCTATGCAGCAGGAGACCAAGGTACAAACCCATCTCAGAGTTTTGAAATAATATACTCAATTAGGTAGAAGTGTTATAGATTTTGGAATGACAAATCTATCTATCTGACAGCACACTCTAGAGTTTTTCCTTAGCTTGCCATACAATGTTTGGAAAGTTTCTGATTGGTGTGAACAGTAGTGATTAAATATCTTGGGATTCTAACACAGATGAGACTAACTGGGAAATAATGTTGAAACAGATGTATAAGGAAATATCTTGAAAACCCATGGGTTCTGCTGACCAAAGTACAGGATTCAAAGTTCTTCTCTTTTGTGTGATCCTGGGCAAATCTGAGCCTTTTTTTGTCTATCTACAAAATAAATATAAAAATAATACCAGTCCTGCAACTCCACCAGGTTGTTGTTAGAATCAAATGCAATAATCTGAACTTTGTCTTTGCCTCTGGAAGAATGATTTAGACTTTCTGAGAATTATCGAATTAAAGGTTCTGCTACTTTGGCATTCTCTCCTTTCTGCCACATGACTGAGGACACGGCTGTCTTTCTTTTTGTCTTCAGCTACCATGTTCACTTCCGGGCCACCAAAGAAACGACACCGGGGTTGGTATCCCGGGTCACCTGTCCCCCAACCTGGTTTAGTTGTACCTGTCCCTACAGTTCGTCCTCTTTCAAGAACTGGTAAGATTTTAACAGAAAATGGATTTTAAGGTTTGTTTTTGTTTGTTTGTTTTTTTAATTAGCAGAGATATTTTCTACTACTGTTCTTTTCCTCAACCCTTGAAGATAAATTTCCTAAACCAACCATTGTGTTCAATATTATGTGAGGATATTGATGGTAGCTAATATTTTGTCCCCATAACATCTGCCTTCCCTCCAAGCACATGTATCATCACAGCTGATCTGACTTCAACCTTTGGCTTAGTTGTAGCCTGTGGCATTGATAAGCCATTTGTTATCTAGGACATGATGCTACCAGCCACCATGACGGGGCACAGATGGACCTGCTGGGCTAGCAGTAGTGTTAGATTTGCCCTCCTGTGATCTGGTTCCTACGTGACCCATGCTTGTTATTTCTGACCTAGACTGTTCAGTCTGGACAGTTCAGGCTAGAAACCTGAAAAACCAACTAGTTCTCCTTCTTAATGCCCAAACTGTGGCCATTTGGTACCAACAGTTAAGTGTTCAAAAATTTGTCTACCTTGCTGTACTAAACACAGACAACTAGAAACATACCAATTCTAAGACATAGATGGGGTTCCTTAAATGTTTAAGCTTTTTCAAATAAATAGTCTTAAAGACTACGTAGAGATATTATATACACAAAAAATTATGCCAATATGTCACTGTGGTTGCCTCTAGGTAGTACTGACTAATGAGTTTATCCTTCTTCACACGTTTTTATGCTTTTCGAAATTTATATATTGAACAGATATGCCTTTGATAATGGGTGGAGGGGGCTGAGGGGAGATAAAATACCAAACAGAATTCAAAAGATTGCATGTGGAAAAAAACTGGAAGGAAAACTACCAAAATGCTAAGTAGTAGTTATCTCTAGATGATATGATTATGCTTATTTTTTTTCTTTTGTTTTTCTCACTCCTAATTTTGTATAATATACACAAATTAATGAAAAAACACTGCAAGCCATGAGACTTCTAAAACTTCTATATTAACACTGCATTGCTTTCTATTGTATATCATTTAGACTTCATGTCTAATCCTTCCTGTCAAACAACTTTTCTTTTTCCAGAGCCCCTTTTATCTGCCCCAGTTCCACAGACCCCATTAACTGGAATTTTACAACCTCGGCCCATTCCTGCAGGGGAAACTGTAATTGTTCCTGAAAACCTGCTGAGTAACTCAGGAGTTAGACCAGTCATTCTGATAGGTAAGGCAAAGGAATTCCAAGTCACCTGTGCCTTCTGGAATCTTGGACTGTTTTTATTGTTTGTGTGTTTATTCATGTATTCAAGAAAGGATTCATTTATCCATCTATTGATTCTTTCAGCTGTTATTGGTCAGCTCCTTCATGCTATATTAAACATAGGATTATAAGTTGAGAATAAGGCAAAGTCTCTTTGCCCTCAGGGAGCACTCTTTAGTGGGGGAGTCTGACCTCGTGCTATCACTGGGGTTAGTAAATAACTATTACAACACACTGCGATAACCATTACAACACAATGTGATGTGTGACCAGGTAGAGGTTCATAGCCAAGAGCAACAAGAGCTCAGGGGAGAGAGGGCTGACCTCTGCCCAGAGGGGTCTGAGAAGACTTCTGAGAAATGATGTTGAAGCTGCATCCTGGAGGGTTGGTTAGAGTGGACAAGGTGGAGGAGGAGACATTCCAGTCAACAGGAGCCAAAGCACAGAGAAAAGAAACAAGCTAAACCAGCTAACAGACCTTACTTGGGAGAACCAAAAGGCCCCACAGTCGCAGGTCTGAGCCTTGGGCAGCACCTGTGAATCAGTATCTTTAAGGAGGCTGAGTCTTCCCAGGTGGTCTGTTAGTGGAGGTTTAGACATGTAGGGGTCCATAGATTCCTAGACTAACATGCTTTTCATGCCCACATCAAGAGTCCTCTTGGTGTTGGGGCCAGCCTAAGCCAGAAGGAGACTGCCTGCTTTACCTCTAGGACAAGACAGTCAGGGGCAGATGGGTGTTTCATTTCCATGGGTGGTTAGGGTGTGTTTGTGTGAGGTGTTATCTGCTTCTTGTATCGCTCTGAGCCCACCTACTTGGATGGTTTTGCTTGGAGCCCTGCCTTTCCCAGGCTTCCCTGTCCACTGATCCTAGATCTGTAGGCCTTGGGGGAATCTCGGTTGTTTAAATTCCATATGGTTTAGGGAGTTCTTTTTTGAACATTAGCGTGGTGCAACTAAGCCTTGGAAAACTACATAGAACATGGGGACCCTTTGGTTCTTTGGTGCCTACCTTTTAGAAAGTCTCACAGAGGGATTGTCCTCTCCACCAACTACCAAAACAGACAATATTCTCCACATATTTTTATCTTGTCTACTTCTAAGATAATTTGGTACTGTTTACTGACATTTAGGAAGAAAACTTAATAAAAATGGCAAAGATAGAAAAAGGAGTAGGAATCTCCAGGCACTGGCAACTGGTATAATGTTGCTATTGATCAATGACTTTAGCTTATTTATATATATATATAGAAAATCTCAGTAAGTGAAACATGCATTATAGTTTTTTGGTTTTCTGATTTCTTATCTGGAAAGAAACTTGATCAGGAACTTTATTAGAAAATATCATTGAGGTTTTACAAAGCATACAGAGACGTTTTGCAAACTCATCAGTCTTCTATGGCAGTGATATAATGTTGACATGTCTCCGCTATGGGAAACAGAGATAATTACTTTGAATACAGTCATCCCTTAGTATCTATGGGGTATCAATTCCAGGCACCCCCCCATACCAAAATGTGTATACTCAAGTCCCTGATATAAAATGGCATAGTATTTGCACAGAATCTGCGTGTACCCTCCCATGTACTTTAAATCATTTCTAGATTACTTGTAATACCTAATACAATGCCTGCACATCCCTTCATTCATGTGGATTCACCATAGTACTTGGCAGGTAGCAAAGTCAAGTTCTACTTCTTGGAACTTTGTGGTATTTTTTTCTCCATGAATATTCTCCATCCACATTTGGTTGAATCCACAAATGTAGATACGAAGGGCCAACTGCATTTTGCTTTCTGTTTATCTGATTTAATATAAAGAGAAAATTTGAAGCATCCAAGTGAATTTCATAGGAATGACATATTTGATTTATTTGGTTGGTAGCCCTCTCACAGGGCAGGGGATTTTATTAAACATCTTTGATCCTAGTTGAGCGAGTGTACCTGGTTGGACCTCAGAAAGAAATGTTGAACTGTATTGACCTGCTTCTATTGGGGCAGGCTATGGCACTTTACCCTATTTCTATGGAAATGTTGGTGACATTGTTGTGAGTCCTCTGCTGGTGAATTGCTACAAGATTCCACAGTTGGAAAACAAAGATTTGGAACAATTAGGGTTGACTGGCAGCCAACTTCTGAGCGTGGAAAACATGATCCTTCTAACGATACAGTATCTTGTACGGCTAGGTAAGTTATTTTCCGTAATCGTTTCCTGGTGACTGTTTTTATTCCTTTTTGTAACGCACCTTTTTTCTTTCTTTCTCACATTCATCCACCTGTCTATCTCCTATTTTTCTTCTTTCGCTTCTAACATTCTTTTCCTTCCACCTCATTCTCCATGACTTTTCTCTTTCTCTCCTCTGTTTTTGTTTTCTAGCCCTTTCCTCTTTGCTTCTTTGGGTCCTAGAGGAGATGAATTGCCCCACCTAGTGTCCAGTCTCATGATACTCCAAAGGTCTCCAAAGTAGCAGCGTGGGCAGAACTGCTGTTGTGCCATTGGCACCCCTCACCCCCTCCACCCCCAGAAGTCTGGCCAGGCCACCTCTCTGAAAACACCACTACCATCTGGAACACAAACATAGCCACTGTCTTAAACAATTTTTTCTAGTTTTCCATTTAGCTTTTTTATCTTATTTAGCTACTGCCCCATACCAATTTTTTTTCCTCCAGCTACACTCCTTTGATGGAGTCCTATTGTGCTTTCCTTCATTGAGGTAGTAACTGTGGACCTCCCTGGAAGGCTTTCTAGGCTTTAGGGTAAGGGGGATACATAGGTCGTGAACCCTTCACTTCCTCTATTTGATATACCCTCCGGAGCCCCCCACAGTGGGAGTATGCAGATGTCCTAACAATGCTATAGTGGTTCAGCATCATTTACATTGAAATGTCCTTTATTTTGCAAACTGCAGTAGGCCATCTAATATGCAGCCTAATTATACACTCCCTCCAGGACTTTGAGCCACTGATTTAGGTAGGAAAATGTTCGAGATATAAAATTTTTATGTTAATCAGAAAAAATTTTGTGTGATCCCAAAGATTATATGGTTTTGTTGCCTTGTAAGAAATTAGTCAGTACTGTATCTGACTGACAACTCTTATTTCAGAATGCCTTTTTCCACTGACCGTATAAACCAGATTTCTCATATCCTCATGGAACTGGCTTTGTCTTTCTGCTAGTTCCTGCATGAATGAGTTGAAATAAACCTTTGACATTTGAAAAATAATAACTTTGTACACATTCATGAATATGTTTAATATTAGAAAATACTGTAGGATTAAGAAATAATAAAAAACACTGGGCCAAATAATTTAAAAACCAAAAGCTTCATCAGCTGAGATTCGGCCTTTGGGGCATCAGTTAGCAACCTGGCCTAGAACTCTTAGGGCCCTGAGGCTGCTTCCACATGGGCTCTGCTTTGACATGGGCTTTTGTAACTTGCAATACTTCAGATTTCCCATGAGAGCTGCTTTCACGATAAACCTAGGACTTACTTAATCATGCTTATCGATAGGTAATAAAATTGTAAAAATCACCTGAGTCTCCAGCTCATTTGATGTTATAATTTTTATTGCTACATTCTGACATAGGGCTCTGGACTATGTTCTAAGACCTAAAAACAGCTTATAGATGCACCCAGAATCAGTAAAACAAGACTTCATAGAGCAATGATATTATAGCCAACTGAGCCAATCACTATAGCATGTTTATTAATCTTAATAACAATTTAAAAAGTCATGAATGTCCAAATTAATTAAACAAACCAAATAGTCAAAATGTCTTCCCTTAAATTACTAAGAGCTCTTATCTTAAAAAAAACAAAACAAAACAGAAAAATCTCAATTTAATTTTACACAGACTCTTCTCTACCCTGTAAGATCAATTCTCTCCAGAGTTTTACTTTCGATCAATTAGGTATCTCAATGTACAACATGAATAGTTATTCCATTTTTTTAATCTAAGCTTTCTACCCTTGGACTTATCTGCCTAAACAATTGTTCTGGAGCCCTTAAAAGTTTTTTTTTGCCTCTGGAGGTTTTGAGAAGGCAGCAAGAATATTTTCACATATGCCATAGATCATAGACATTTAAAGAAATAAATCCAAACTTCTAAAAGGACAGTTTTAATACTTTGGTGGCTCAGTTACTTGGAGGTAATAGAAGAAGAAAAGCAAGATTCTTCAGAAGGAATAGACCTTTCCACTACAGTCACTTTAAAAAAAAAAAATCTCAGTTATTTCACAATCTGAAAATCTTTTGAAGTAGATAATGAAATCAGCAAATCCAGAGATTCTTGGAAGGCTCTGAGTCTGGTGGAACCTTGTCTTTTCCTATTAAGGCAGCTTTCTCCAAAAAGCCATTAGAACTGATGCCTGGGCTAAACTGAGTTACTGGAGATCAGCACTCAAAGGAAAAAATTACTATTATCAAGTTTGCAAGAAGTGGAAAAAAGGCTCCTCTGATTTAACTATAAAGGCTGAGGATAAAAAAATGAGAGTTGATGATTGGAAGCAAGACATTTTACACTACGAAGTCTCTCACCTCACTTAAACTTTAACATCTTTTCCCCCATTTCTCAATTCCTAACAGGAGTTCAGTCAAAACACTATAAAAGTGTATTTTAAGATAACAGAAAATGTTGTGAGCATGTTTGATAATTTTGTTTTCCCAGAATACCTTTATATTTGAAGTTAACTGCTTCCTGATGGAACATGTTACTCAATCCTGTTTCAGAGTAGGTCTTATGGCCACAACTATTAACCAGGCATCTGAGCCTTCAGGTCATCAATAAGGGACAGTAGGGAATTGGAGAGCACCAGGGCCACCTGCTTTGAAACTGTCACATGTTCTGGTGGAAGAAAGCTTTAAGTAGAGAACCACCTTCCCTTCATTTGCGACAGTTTGTACAAATCTATCCACTTCAAGCTCACTGCTAAGTATGTACCTAGTGACCACTACCATGGTGCTAATTTGATAAAGCTGAATGAAAATCAGAAGTCTTGGTGGCTCCCAGGTGATTAAAACAGTAACAAAAGCTGTAATCCTAGGACTCTGGGAGGCTGAGGTGGGAGGATCACTTGAGGTCAGGAGTTTGAAACCAGTCTTAGCGAGATCCCATCTCTACAAATAATAGAAAAATTAGCTGAGCATGGTGGCCCACACCTGTAGTCCCAGCTATTTGGGAGGCTGAGGCAGGAGGATCACTGGAGCCCAGGAGTTTGAGGTTGTAGTGAGCTACAATGATGCCACTGCACTCTAGCCCAGAGAAACAGAGGGAGACTCTGTCTCAAAAATAAATAAATAAACTTCCCCCTACCAAGTGATTGGGAAGGACATAGAAACATGATATAATCATTATGATTTGCTTGTCCTATTTCCACATATAGAAGACAAAAATCTGTCTGTGATGTTTCCACTGTCCCACCTCTCCCTGGTCCCTAGCGAATCCTGAAAAAACTATGTTCTCCAATTAAAATAGTTTATTTTTTAAATGTGTAATATTATATTTAATCTTCCTTGTCTTAAAAACATTACTAAAGCCCTCATTTTTTACTTTCCCAGAAAAGATGGGCAGGGCCAGAGAGGCCACTTAAATTCCTATTAGACTTGAGCCTAGAAGTTGGGGGCTGTAGTGAGCCGTGATCGTGCACTGCACTGCAGCCTGGGCAACAGGAAGGAAGGATTCCTGGCTCACTCAAGGCGCCTCCTTCCCATACCGAAGTCTAGTCCCTCACCCTTGTGTTCTTTTGTACGGGGCTTTTATCCCTGGGGTCAGGGCTGTTGCTTGGTCACAGTTCACAGATGCTGAGGTGTGTATTTCCTGGAGCCTGAGTTTCAAATCTTGGGTTCATATAGCAAAAGAATTTACTGAATACAGGGAGTGATTATATTCTCACTGGTTTCAATTTAAACTAAATATAGAAATCTCAGTTCGTTTGTGTCACTTGGATACCAAACATTGACTTGCTTATTTTGTTCTAAAGACTGGTTGAGTTTCTAAAGAGAATGAGAAACAAAGTCCCCCTAATTCCAGAGGCCACAGGTCAGCAGTATAAGCTTAGCCCTAAGCTCGGCTAGGGAAGAGGGCCAAATGCTGTATTTAACAATCCGAACACTGGGGAATAACTAGATGATGAAAGCATTCTCTATCTGGGGAAAGAGTGAGGCTTTCTAAAATATATCTTGGGAGTCAAAACTAGTTCAACTTAATTTTCCTGTGGACATTATTCTCAAAATTAGATGTAGAGGCAATACGTTAAAAATGCCTTTCAAAGTGTCTATGAATACAATGAGGAATGAAACCTAAAACTGACTACACAGCAGCAGGTTGGCTTCTTATCTCATTAGTCAGTAGCAATTTCCATAATGCCAAGCTGAATAGGTCAAGAAATAAGCCATCTGCGATGACCATCTCCTGAAGCATACAGCAGAACTGATAGTCTCTCTCAGTACATCCTCTCTTACAGAGACCAGGGTTAGAATAAAGGAGAACAGAAGCCTGACTTAAAAAAAAAAAAAAATAGAGGCAAAGAGAAAAAAAGAGAAGGTAACGTCACAACAGGAAGTGGTTAGCATGGACTCCATAGGTGGGACCACACAGGAAAAAAAGCTCCTTCCCCAGCTGGAGGATGGCAGGATGTGTGTGTTCCTCTCTCCTACCTATAATTTTTTTTAAATTCCAACTGTAATTCTCTTCATTATAGGTCCTGATCAGATACCTCTCAGGGAAGAATTTGAGCAAATCATGCTGAAAGCTATGCAGGAATTTACTCTGCGAGAGAGAGCCCTGCAGATAGGTGCTCAGTGTGTACCTGTGTCGCCGGGACAGCTGCCCTGGCTTGCAAGATTAATCGCAAGCGTATCTCAAGACTTGGTTCATGTGATCGTGACCCAGAACTCTTTGGCAGAGGGCATTTCAGAGACACTGAGGACTCTCAGTGAAATGAGACACTATCAAAGGCTACCAGATTATGTTGTGGCAATTTGTGCATCAAAAATCAGAGGAAATGAATTTTGTGTGGTAGTGTTAGGTGAGTAATCTTGTTTGTTTGTTTTTTTATTATTTATTGAATCCATTCATTCAATCATCTGTCCGTTTGAAAAGTATCTATTGGGTGCTTTGGGCATCCATGCCATCAATCTCTGATGAATTGCTCCAATTCGAGCTCCTTCTCCTAATTTTAACTTTTCCTTTCCTCCTCAGGTCAGGTTTTTGTAGCCCTCAGTTTGGCTGGTGCCCCTGTCAGCTGGTTGTGGGAGCATTATTTCAAAGCTCACCGTGGTTACAGATACCCTTGTCTCATGTAACTGCTGTCCTTAAAAGGTCCTGCAAATGTTACCACTCTAGCATGTGATAAAGCCAGCACCACAAGTGGCCTAAGCCACTTAGTCAAATTTGCCAGAAACTTAGCTCATATGTTCTTCTCACTGAAGAGTCTATTTAATATTGTAATGTTGACGCTAAAGAAAAGATTCGGAAAGTTGGCAAGTTGTCTTTTTGTCTTGTCTGTTTGTTTTTCACTGTGCTGTTTTGGTTTTTTTTATCAGTCACCATCTCAAATAGCTATTTGGACTAAATTTCATTTCTCTCCTCTCCGTACCGAATGGCTCTCACCTCTTCCTGGCAAAGAGGCGAAGCCCCTTCACTTTGACAAAACCTGTCTACCCATCTTTCTGTGCTATATATATTTTCAGAAAGCTTCATCAGACAATGTGATACATTAATTTTTAAAATTTTTATTTGTAAAAGCAACTTAACATAAGTTTATATTTTTAAGGCAAATATTCATAATAACCATGCATACACAATTTTTATAAGGTTTTTTCATATTCTTCGCTAGTCTTGTTTTCTGCTTATGTCCACAGCCCCTGGGCACTCACTGGCCCAAATGGTCCAGACTGGGGGCAGCCATGGTGTCACCCACAGCCTCTGGGGGACACGAGAATCTTCCCTAGTCGTTAAACACATGCATGTGTATGTTCTCACAGTTACAAACATAAGGTACATCATTGTTCCCTTTCATCACCTAGCATTATATTATAAATGTTTTCTGCTTCTGTCTACAGTACAGTCTTCAGATTGACATTCCAAATCTTTTAATGTGCCCTGATTGTCTTAACCCAAGTCCCTGTGGTAACACACTTCGGTTGTTTCCAGTTGTTGCTATTACAAATAATGTTCCAGTGAGCGTTTGTTCTATTGCGGAGTCATCTCTTCTCCCCTCTGTTCTGCAGGCCAGCATCAGTCCCGAGCGCTGGCAGAGAGCATGCTCACCACAAGTGAGTTTTTGAAAGAAATTAGTTATGAGCTCATCACAGGAAAGGTCAGTTTCCTGGCATCACATTTCAAAACCACGTCATTAGGTGAGTGGTTGTAAGATCCAGCAACACTGCCAGCCCCTAGCTGCATGATTTTCTGAATTTAAATCTTAGCCTGTCGAGGAGAGGAATGTGGAGCATAAGCTTGCCCACACATATATCATCTGGAGCGGTTTATCCTGAGTATTTTGTTACTAACACCACAGGAAGCAGCAGGGGGTCTAGAGGAAGACACCTCGGTACTAGGATCAGAAGCCTCAGCTCAGCTATGACTTTATTGAATGACCTTGGGCTGGTCTCTGTCTCCCTGGATCTCAGTTTTCTAATATGTCAAATGGGGGGATAGTAATGCCATTCTGCTTGCTTTTGAATATTGCAGAGGACAAGAGCGAGAGCAGCGTGCAAAAGCATGTAAACTGTAAGCACAATACCAGTGGGGGTAGCTCTTGCGATAGAGACGCCCCTGTAGAGATGGCCAAGCTTAAACACCGACGTGATCACTGGCCAACCAACAGATCTTGATGATGCCTAACCACCGGACTTGGACACTGATAAAAACAATACAAACATATCCTTCCTTGTAACCTTACTTCCACTTTATTTTGTAATAGGCGATGACCTAGACAAGCTGCTAGAAAAAATGCAACAAAGAAGAGGAGACAATGTGATTACCCCCTTCAACGGAGACCTTAACGAATGTGTGTCACCCCAGGAGGCTGCTTCTATGATACCCACACAAAACCTGGGTAATGTCACCGCAGACCAAGAGGAGGACATCAGTCCTTGGGACAGGCATTATAGAAACTAAGTCATCCTGAGGGTTTTGAGGGCTCTTCTTAAAGTCATAGACCACGACAGTCTTTTCCTCATTGTCTATATGATAAATTTCATTCAAATTAAGAGCCTCATGCTCTACCGACTGAGCTAGCCGGGCACCGGTCAAATTAAAAATGCTTTACCATTAAAAATTTTAGGCCAGGCGCGGTGGCTCACGCCTGTAATCCTAGCACTCTGGGAGGATGAGGCGGGAGGATTGCTTGAGGTCAGGAGTTCGAAACATAGCCTGAGTAGAGAGCGACGACCCATCTCTACATAAATAGAAAGAAATTAATTGCCAACTAATAGTATATAGTTATATATATTAGTTATTAGTTATATATATTAGTTAGGTATTATTAGTTATATATATAAATTGAATAGCGGCATGTGGTGCTGCCTGTAGTCCAGCACTTGAAGGCTGAAAGCAGTAGGATTGCTTGAGCCAGGAGTTATGAGAGATATAGCTGTAGAAGCTAGGCTGACGCCACAGCAACACGTCAATCAAGCTGGGCAACCAAACGAGACTTGTCCAAAAAAAAAAAAAAGTTTTAAAGGCCTTGTTCCTAGTAAAAGTCTACGCCAGAATGAGAATCAAAGACTTTAAAAAATCTTAAGTACTCATTCCCTTATTTTCCATTGAAAGATTCCAAGGAACACTGGGTGCTCCCCTTTCCCGTTACTTCTACCGCCTCTTGTCGGCCCAGAGAGTTCGATGGCTTTGCTGAGGGCTTCAAAGACTACTGAAAAGAAAGTTCTGGACTATAGGCCTGCAGGCCCCCTCGCGCTCCTTCCACGTTCACTCGACACTGGTGTCAACCTCAGCGATACGACGAGCCTCCCCTGGCGATAGAACAGCACTGCACAAGGACATCTCCTGCCAATAACCTCAGGGGCTCTTAGAGGGGGACAGGGGCCAAGGATGAGGAGTTTGTCCTTACGATGGATCTCCTCTGGGTTCATGATTCCTGCCCAATTCGATTGACAGCTGAACAACATAGGAGAGGACGGAAAAGAAGCAGGCAAAAGGACTAGATGCGGAAACAGACGCCATCATAAGCTCCGCTCGCTGACAGCCACCTTGCCACGGCTGGATGACAACGTCGCATCATTCTACTATATTCCGATCTGCCCTCCAGGCCAGTCAAACAGTGGCGTTGGCTTCGGCATCAGCATGCAGTGTGAAACACATGCAAACTACCAGGGCAATAAAATCGTTTTTGACTTCCTAGATGGTATTGGCTATAAAGTACGATCATCCAATGATCTAAAAATGAGCTTAATGTTCTATATTAACTATTTTGAATGTATAACAATTTAGATTAAACATTCTTCAGCAGGACTTCACGCATGCACCAACGTACATCATCTTTGGTTTCCTGTTAAAAAAACATTGTCTACAAGATACTTTCATCGTTTCCCTCCAAAACCTTCAAACCCTGCTTACAGTCAAATCTCTACACACTTTAGGTATGTCATCTTTAGTCGCCCCCCCGGCCCACCCCGAATCCACCCTGAACCAAGGAAACATAACAGCCCCATCACACCACTATATCCAAAAGACAGACTTATCTTTGATCAGTGTCCCTATGGTACAAAACTATTTGGACCACATATTAAAAGTTATAGCTTTGGGCCAGGCACGGTTGCTCACCGCCTGTAATCCTAGCACTCTGGGAGGCTGAGATGGAGGATCACTTGAGCTCAGGAGTTTGAGACAGCGCCTAAGCAAGAGCAAGACCCATCTCTACCAAAAATAAAAAACGTGGCCGGGCGTGTGGGCTCACGCCGTAATCTAGCACTTGAGGCTGAGGTGGGAGGATTGCTCGAGGTCAGGAGTTCGAAACCAGCCTGAGCAAGAGCAAGATCCCGTCCTACTATAAATAGAAGAAATTAATTGGCCACTAATAATATAAGAAAAATTAGCCGGGCATGGTGGTGCATGCCTGCAGTCCCAGCTACTTGGAGGCGAGCAGAAGATTGCTTGAGTCCGGGAGTTTGAGGTTGCTGTGAGCTAGGCTGACTGACACCACGGCACTCACTCTAGCCTGGGCAACAAAGCGAGACTCTGTCACAAAAATAAAAAATAAATAAAAAAAATTAAAAAGTCAGTCATGCATGTGGCAGGCACCTGTAGCCCAGCTACGTGGGAGGCTGAGGCAGGAGGATTGCTTAAGCCCAGCAGTTTGAGGTTGCTGTGAGCTCTGATGATGCCACTTCGCTCTATCCTAGGGTGACAGAGTAAGACTCTGTCTCAAAAAAAAAAAGATTCCAGCTTTGGGCTTTTCCAGTGGGTTCTCTCAGCTAGTAGGGAGACCACCCATAAAAATCTCCACTCACCATCAGTGTCTGTGGTAGCTGGAGTACTGTGACTGCTGTCTTTGCCTGGACTGCATTGCAGTTTGATTTTAGAAAACGTTAATTAGCACAGGTTATTTAGGCCCTTGTGATTATTCTGTTTTAGTCAAACTGCCACATGTGTTCCTGATAAAAAGCAAGTCTTTAAAGGAGGGGATGCTGCCTGCTCAGGTGTTTAGCTGACTAAACGTGTTTCTTTCATTGCTTGTGTGTGTGGATGTGCACGCACATATAAGAGAGATTGATTGCTTGATTATACTTGCAGTAAAAAGCTACTGACAAGCTCCGAGTATCTGGGCAATGTTTCTGTAATACGCAACTTGCTGAGTGGCCAGCTGGCCATGTCATGAGTCAGGTCTCTTCAGATAGTCCAGGCGTCAGCACTGGAGTCAACCACAACCACCTAGACCTGCCAGGTCACACGCGCTGGCAAAGTGGAGCAGAGTGGGAAGGAAGGTGAAGGTCGTGTCTCCATGACCTATGTTATGTAGTCACTGGGAGGGGAATTTTAGACCATGTTGCAACTGACTGGCTGAACAGGAAATGTTTACTGTAGTGCCATCCAGAAAAGCTCAAAGGAACTCAGCATCATCAGAGTGACAGCATGACCTCCTTGCCTGAACTGGGTCTGGGCTCGAGCACTGGCCAGTGCTGATATTCCCAAAGAAAACTGGAAAATCTCCCCTTTCCAGAGATGAGTCCTGGCTGCAGCAGCGAGAGTGCAGTCTGTCTCCATCGTGTCTGGCTGGGGTAGGATGCGTCAAACTAGGCATTTGTGAGACAATCACTCGATTTTGATACATTTGTAAAACCACATCCACTCCTGAGCACATCCTCTCAGCCAAGTTTCCAGGGAAAATAGGCAAATCTACTAAAACTCAATAGAAAGTAAGACTAGCATGTGAGAATTCCTTACCGTGTGTGTGTATGTATACCATGTGTGTATAAATTCATATGTCCTCATACGAATTTATAGTGGCCATTGTGGAAGTAAATTAATCTTGCTCTTATGATTCTTTTTTTAATTTTAGATTTAGATAATGAAACCTTCCAAATTTATCAACCGCAGCTCACAGTGGCCAGAAAACTCTTGTCCCAGGTGTGTGCTATAGCAGACAGTGGCAGCCAGAGCCTGGACCTCGGTCACTTCAGCAAAGTGGACTTCATCATCATTGTCCCAAAGTCGGAAGTGTTGGTCCAGCAAACTCTTCAACGGATCCGACAATCAGGTAAGAGTGAACTTTTGAAGAGGAGCCTCCCTTGATCCAGCTTTAGCTCTCCTCTGCCTCTTTTCTTTTGCTTAATCCAAATGTTTATAGGAAACTTAGAACTTTCTTCAGTAATAAAAATCACAAAAGTACTTTAAATGTTTTTTTGAATTTGCAAGTTTTCCCTCAGAGAACCATGTCCTTTTTCCCTCCAAGGTCAAGGGCAAATTACTTGCATGTTTCCCAGATACTGTTAAGTCCATGACATAATCAGTGGGAGTGGAATCTGGTCATTGTTGATGAAGAAGAATTTTCTCCAGACAAGGACAGCCCTGCATGGGATGATGGAGCCTGTGCCCCCTGACCTCCTTCTGTGCTCACATAGGTCACATTGTCATAAATGGGTTCTTGGACATTAGCTCATTACCGGACACTTGCAACCCTAGAAACCAAAGCACCATCCTGCCAGGTCAGCAATGAGATTGAGATATAAAAACGCAAAGTTAAAATTACTCCTAAAAACTTTAAGAGAATAAGTATAGGGGAAAAAATATTTTTCCCAGATAATTTTAAAAGGTAGAGAGCAAAACTTTTACAAGTCTAAAAAAATACCACTTTACAAGTCTGTGGTAAATAATAACCCTTTTCAAAAACAAAATTTGCTTAGAATTACCAGAAGCCACAAGGAATTTAGAAAATTGAGACAGCTGAATAGCACTTGTCTTTGTAAACTAGGTTTGAAAAGGAAATTATAAATGTCGAGTCGCTTCAGATTACCTAAGCTGGGGAAAGACACACACACTAACTAACACATGCTTGTGCACACACACATGTGCACACATGCATGTGCACAAACATGCACATTTTAGCTGGAGGATGAATCTTTTTGCCACAGTAAATAATCTTATTTTCAATATATTTAAAAACAGATAAGCAGAAAAATTTATAAGTACTTAAAATGTGGTCTATATGTTCCATATCTATCATACAGTGCCCTGTTAAAATGCTAATTTCCCTTCCGTGAGTGGGGGCTGGGGCTCTAGAGTCTGCATTTCTGACAAGCTTCCAGGGGATGCCAGTGCTGCTGGTCTGCAGACCACACTTTAAATAGCAGGGCTCTATAAGAAATCCTGCGTTGTTAGGTCCAAGGGCCAAATGAACTGACTAAAAAAAATACGTTTTCCCCTCTCTTTTTAACCTCTCTCGGTGGCTGTGACTGACGCAGGCAAAGTCTTGTCTCATCTGGAGGCCCAAGTGCCTGGTCAATCGCATAGTCTTCTTTGTAGCCTCTCAGTGTCTGAATGACAAGTTACAAAATGACCTGTTGGAAATACCAACTTGTAGGTGATGAGCTGGAGAAGGTAAAATGCCATCTCTCCCAGAAACCAGAGTAAGTTCCATGCTGTCTCAGCTACTGGCCATTTCTGCATTTTTTTTCCTTCCATCTGCCCATTGTGGGGAGTGGACAGGCTTCAGTCACACCAAGCAGTAACCAGATTTTTTTGGTATTTCTTATGGATTTTCTGCTTTCATAACATGGAGGAAGTGCCTTCTCTTGTGGGTGTTTTACTTGTACTGATTGGTATCTGTGGCCTCCCTGAATGTGTGATCTGATATCCCAAGTTGTGCTTGAGCAAACACAGCAGAGCACCTGTGTGAAGTGACAAAGTCATCTGCAGAACCTTGTCCTGAAATAACCTCTTGGTGACCTGTACTTTCACCTTTCCCAGTGGACACAATCCCTGAAGAAAGTGTGTAGATCTTTCCTTCTCCCTTCTCAATTCCCTCAGAGTTTTCTAGAGTATTTTAAGGTTGCCACCCCTCAGAAAGGTACCCGAACTTGACTAGTTATATAAGCTTAGAATCTAGGGGGAAAAAAATGTCATAGACAGATTTGGAAAACACAGAGCAAAGCATATTTTAAAAATTATTTACATCTGGCTTTGGCATACACACTGAAATTTTTGTTGCAAAAATAATCATTTCTGTATATTTAAAAATAACTTTATTCATTTTTATTATAGAAAAACTAGATATTCTTTATTTTGAAAAACAAAAGAAAGTAAAAAAATTCAAATATTTATAATCCCACCATTCAAGAATAACTACTGTTTTAAAGTCTTGGTGCTAACAAATGACTAATCCCTACCATTCCACCTCTCTTCCCCACCTGTGTGTTTTTCACTTGGCACTACAGTGCACGTTTTCCATGTCATGAAAAGCTCTCGTAAGCATCATTCTTAATGCATGTATAGCATTCCATATCATAACTACACCAACATGTATTTGCTTTGATATTTAAATACCTTCCTATTCTTGGAACACATACCAATTGATGGGAGAGAAAGGACCAGAAGCACATTAAAGTGTAAGGAAAAATTGTTCAGGGCAGAGTAAATAGCAGGAGAGCATCTGCTCAAATAACTCTTAAAAATCATAGCTATGAAAACAGAAAAAGTTCTCAAGAAATCATCTGACTCCCTTTCCTCACATTTCATCATGAGCTTGGTTTGCCTGAGGCCACGGACGGCAGTATACCTTGGGAGAAAGGACACTGGAGCCTCTTTTAGTGCCCTTCTCAGGCCTGACCCCAGCAGGTGCTCACTGGTGCTTGAATGGAGGGAGGGGAGTGGTGGGCAGTGGGAGAAATAATGTCCACGGGCTCCACTTCCTGGTCCCAGCTGCCTCCTTTCCTAAGGAAAGATGTCAGCAGCCAGCCTGCCAGGAAAAGTACCAGGCAGGGAGTCACGCCAGCCTGTGCAGAAAGGCCACATCCTTGGCAGTGCATGTGTGGCTGAAAGTAGAAAGATGAAAATAGAAACCATCACGTAGTTGCAGACCCAGCACTAAAGTGAAGCATTTGATACCTCAACTCACATTCTGATTAAGAAATGAAGGAAAGACAAGAGGCAGGGCGGGGAGGTGGGGTAGAAAACAAAATAATATGTTATGGAAAGAATTTGAAGGTTAAAAAAAGAAATGAAATGGGTTAAACAGCTTTAAGTTACCTAAAGTAGATTTGTAACTATTGGGGCAATCAGTAGAGAAGGAGCATTTTTAGACTATAGGCAATGCTGTTGTTTTAGTGTCATTTTTATTTTTAATTTGAAGTTCTAACGTAATTCTTCTCATTCAGAAAATCCTATATTCTGTAAATGAGAATACTAGAGTACTGGTGCAATCAAAATGCAAGCCACTTTCAATTCAAGGTGGGTGGGATGAATACAGAAGTGTTAGTGCCTGTCTAGATGTTTCTCCTCCCTGCTTTTAGGATGGTGTAGGTGGGAGCCCCAGCCAGTGGGAGCTGGTCTGGGTGTATCAGTTAAGGAAGTGTCATCGTGCTTAGGGGAACGACACAAATGTGATGCTTCAACACACGCATGATTATAAAAAAATCCAGAGAGATAAATTTGTCTGCTGATATATAGGTAGATTACAATGGATGCAAGGAAGTTTTAACCCTTTGCACTCAGATGTCAAGTGTGACTCCACACGGTTAGCAAAAATTATAGAGATTAAAATTACCCTTTGAATGTATCAATAATTTGAAATATAAAAAAATCCAAATAAATAAGTTTGTATGAAAAGAAACTCCAGTTTTTTATTTTACTGCCGTGCTTTGTAAAATCTGGAGTATTTAAAAAATTAAATCCCAAGTAGAATAAAGGAATCAAGAAAAAGCAAGCGAGTGCAAAGGGTTAAGGAAGTGGTAGAGATTGGGAGCAGAACTGAAGAGATAGTGGAAGGCGTTCTCACTTTCTAAAACATGTTTTCTTGGTCTCATCAACTTTATGCCGCCTTGTTGGTTACCAAAACTTTCAACATTAAAAGATCCGTATTTATTGGGCAGAGACAAAGGTGGCAGGGAACAGGATCCCAGGGAAGAAAACCCTTGGAAACCACTCTGTCCTGAGGTAGAAGACAGAAGGACCAGTGACTGCTCTGTGCAGCCTAACTGAGCATATCCATTCACATGCCAGTGGCCCAGCCCGGCCCCTCACCCTCAGCACCCTCAGGTCCTCATCCTCAAACACTGTTGCCCTCCATTGATATCCTAGACCTGCTGGATCCTGGAATCATCCATTCAGATGTTCCCAACTTGGTACCACAATCTATCTCTCCTTTGCTGCATATGGACACTGTGTTGGACACTGAGTAGGGCGGGGAGGGGGGTGGGATCAGACTTTCCAGCTGATGCCATAATAAATTCTTTTCTGGGTTCTTTACTTGGTTCTCTCTCCATTCTGCACAGTGGCTGTCGCAGACTCCCCTTCACTCATCAAACTTCAGACGTCATCCTTCTCTCTTGGTGAATGACCATGCTGCATCTTTTTCCCCTTTCCCCCACCCAAAGGAAAAAAAAAAGCCCACAACTTCAGATAAAAACTTCTTGTCTTCAAATCTAGAAACCTGACTGTGTGTGCCCTGTCTTTCCTCCCCGCCTCCTAATTGGTGGAGGAGCTGCCCTGCTCTGGTTAAGCCTGACTCTCCCACCTCACCCTAGATACCATCCCAGCCTCATTCTCAGAGACCTTGCACTGCTGATTTTTTTCTCACATTGCTTCAACATCTTTCTCTGCCGGGGCTCATTCTGTCGGTTTCAACCCACTGCACTCTCTTGAAGACAACACAAGCCTCTGTTAATCCTACCTGGTCCTCTTGCTCCTTTCTTCTCACCACTGCCACACCAAGACAGTTGCCCAAAACACGTTGGGCCAGGCACGGTGGCTCATGCCTGTAATCCAAACACTTTGGGAGAAAGGTGAGAAGATCACTTGAGCCTAGGAGTTTGATACCAGCCTGAACAATATAACAAGGCCCTCTCTCTCTCCAAAAAATAAGAAAAATGAGCTAGACACAGTGACGCATGCCTGTAGTCTCAGCTACTTGGAAAGCTGAGGCCGGAGGATCGCTTGAGCCCAGGAATTGGAGGCTGCAGTGAGCTGCGATCACACCACTGCGCTCCAGACTGGACAACACAGTGAGACTCTGTCTCCCAAGAGAGTTGTCCAGTGCCACCT